CACTTTTAAAGACATAAATAACCACCACCTAGGTCAAGATTAAGAATGGGCCCAACCTCCTGGATACCTATGTGCACATTAATACCCAACCCCCCCCCACACACAGGTACCCATTATTCTGATTTTATTTTTACTACAAACTAGCTTTGCCTGTTCTTGAACTAAATATAAATGGAATCATACTTCATACAGTAAGTAGTTTTGTGTCTGTCTTCTTATGGTTAATATGAAGAAATTCATTTAGTGAATGAATTCACATGAAATGCATTCAGTTTGTTGCCTATGTCAGGTGTATATTCTTAATAGCTTTATTGGGGTATAACTGACATACAATAAATTGCACATACTTGATGGGTAAGATTTGGTAAGTTTTATAATATGTCTTCACCCAGGAAACCATCATCACCATCAAGATAATGTACATATCCATCACCCCAAAAGGTTCTCTGTCCCCCTTGGTAATTCCCCTTCCTCCCCTCCTCTTATCCCCAACAAACACTGATATTCATTGTCATTATAGCTTAATTTCCATTTTCTAGAAGTTTATATAAATGGAATAACACAGTATGTCTATGTTTTTATACATATTCTTCTACTCAGAGTAATTATTTTGAGATTAACCCATGCTGTAGCATGTAAAAATAGTTCTTTTTTTATTACTGAGTAGTATTTCTTTGTATAGATAAACCCACTTATCCATTCACCTGTTGATGAACATTTGGGTTGTTTCTAGTTTATGGCAAATAAAGCTGCTACAAACATTCATGTACAAGTCTAGGTATGGATATATATTTTCTTTTCTCTTAGGTAAATACTGGATCATATGATAGGTATATTTGTAACTTAATTATAAAGAAACTTCCAACTCTTTTCCATTTTTATATCCCCTCTCGCAGGGTATGAGAGAACCAAGGTCTCCACAAGCCATCAGCACTCTGTATGACCAGTCTTTTTAACTTTAGCCAGTATAATAGGGATGTAGTTGCATATCGTTGTGCTTTTAATTTGTATTTCCTTAATGACTAATGTTGTTGAGCATCTTTTCATGAGTTTATTTGCCAACCATGTATCTTCTTTGGTGAAGCATCATAAATGTTTTCTCTCAGTCTGTGGCTTGCCTCTTCATTCTCTTTAATGTTCTAGAACAGAAGTTAGTAGTTTTGATAAAGTTCAATTGGTCAATTTTTTCTTTTATGGATTATGACTTTGATGCTTTATCTAAAAAAAAGTTACCAGTATTTTCTCCTTTTGTTTTCTTCTAGAAGGCTTAAAGATGTAAGTTTTAGGGAACTCATACAACTTAACAAAAGGAAGATAAACAACCCAATCAAAAAATGGGCAAAGGACCTAAATAGATACTTTTCGAAAGAAGACAGAAGGCCAAAAGACATATGAAAACATGTTCAAAGTTACTAATCATCCGAGAGAAGCAAATCAAAACAACAATGAGGTACCATCTCACACCTGTCAGAATGGCTATCATCAACAAATCAACAAACAACAAGTGCTGGCGAGGATGCGGAGAAAAAGGAACACTTGTGCACTGCTGGTGGGAATGCAGACTGGTGCAGCCACTGTGGAGAACAGTATGGAGTTTCCTCAAAAAACTAAAAATGGAACTCCCATTTGACCCAGTGATCCCACTTCTAGGAATATATCCCAAGAAACTAGAAACACCAATTAGAAAGGATATATGCACCCCTATGTTCATAGTGGCACAATTCACCATAACTAAGATTTGGAAACAGCCTAAGTGCCCATCAATAGATGAGTGGATTAAAAAACTGTGGTACAGCTACACAATGGAATACTACGCTGCTGTAAAAAAAAAAAAGAACTCTTGCCATTTGCAACAGCATGTATGGACATGGAGAGCATTATGCTAAGCGAAATAAGCCAGTCAAAGAAAGATAAATATCACATGATCTCACTCATTTGTGGAATACAAAGAACGACATAAACTGATGAACAAAAATAGATCCAGAGAGCGAGAAGCATAGAACAGACCATCAAACCTCAGAGGGAAGGCACAGGTGGGGAGCAGGGGTAGTAAGAGACCAAAGGACTTGTATGCATGCATATAAGCATAACCAAGGGACACAGACAGTAGGGGGGTTTGAGAGCATGTGCTGGGGAGTGCGAGTGGCTGGGGAGAGGTCAATGGGAGGGGGGAAGGAGACATATGTAATACTTTAAACAATAAAGAATTACATAAATAAATAAATAAATAAATAACTAAATAAATAAACTCTAGGTCCAAAGTCTCATCTAACTATAACCTAAGTGAGTATGGATAAAACTGAAGGTATGGTTTGTTCTGTGGCAAACTGCTCTCCAGTTTAGAACCTGTGAGATCAAATATGTTACATGCTTCCAAAATACACCAGTGAACAGGCACAGGACATTCCCATGCAAATGGGAGAAAGAAGAAAGTAGAAAGGAAAGAGAGGTTCTAAGCAAGTTTAAAACCCAGCAGGGCAAATTCCATTAGACTTTAAACCTCAAGAATAATCCTCTTTGGCTTGCTGCTATGCCATCCAGGCCTCTAGGGCAGTGGTCCAGCCTGCAGCTTTGCTGGACAGAGGTTGGGGCCCCAAGGCTCCAGACTGTCCTGCCCCGACAGCTTTGGGCAGCCCTACCCCCCACTGTGGCTCTCCAGGATTGGGGTCCTGAGACCACCTCATCCAGCCACTGGAGCAGCACCTGGGACAGCCAGTTGCTCAGCACCAGAGTGCAGGGAGAGGAGCCCACCAGGGGAGGTGGTGCAGAGGTGAGCCAGGTTCAGAAGAACCAGCAGCCCCTCCTTTGCAGTATCCCATTGTCCTAGACAACAGCTCCTGGCTTCCGTCAAGATGGCTTAGTGTTCTCCTTACAAACGGTCTCTCAGCAACACCCTTAGCGTGCTTTCCTGAACAGGCTTTCTCATTCTTTTCAATATAAATAAACTGAGAATTCTCCAAATCATTAAGTTCTATGTTCTGCTTACTTTCCAATTAACAATTCCATCTTCAAGTCATTTCTCTCTTCTCACATTTTACTACAAGCAGTCAAGAGAAACCAGGCCATAGTTTCAACACTTTCATTAGAAACTGCTTAAGCTAAACATCTAAGTTCATCACTTACAAGTTCTACCTTCCACAGAACACAAACACAGTTCAGCCAAGCTTTTGGCCACTTTATGACAAGCATGGTCTTTCCTCCCGTTTCCAATACCATGTTGCTCATTTCCATCTGAGACGTCATCACAATGACACCATTCATATTTGCACCCACAGTGTGTTAGGAGACTCAAGTATTGTCTGAGGCTTTCTCTACAATTTTTTTTTTTTTTTTTCGTTCTGAGCTCTCATTGGAATTGCCTTTAAAAGTCCATTCATGGCCATGCAAGCTTTTCTGGTATGCAACCTCAAACTCTTCCACTGCCAGTTCTAAAAACAAGTACCATAGATTGGGTGCTTTGTAAACAACACAATGCATTTCTCACAGTTCTTGGGGCTGGGAATCAGGTATCAGGGTGCCAGCATGGTGCCTTCTTCTGGGTTGCAGACTTCTCACTGTATCCTCTCATGGCAGAGCAAGCTATCTCAGGATTCTAATAAGGATGCTAATTCCATTTGCTCCCAAGACATATTCACCGCCCAAAGGCGCATAGAGATGGGGGTAGGGTTGTGTGCAAATTTCCAACATGATGTTTAGACCTTGGCCAGGTTTTCCATTCATTCAATCATTCAACAAGTATTTTATTGAGCACCTATAATATTCTGATTCCAGGAGCTGAGAATATGACAGTACACAAGGTAGGGCAGATCCCACTTTCATGAAGCTGACATCTGAGTGGGGCATACAATGCAATACAGGTTTATATCAAGCCTAGAAAAACAAAGCCAGAACATAATACCCAAACCTAAAAGAAATTAGACTAATCAGGCAAGAATATTAAGAACTTCTCCCAAGAAGGTTCACATCTAGGCAAACCCATACACACTCTTTTCTCGTTCCCGTCTCTCCTGGACTTCCCCTGTGAAAACCCCGTCTCAGGAAAGGTTCCAACCGACTCAGTCACGCTTAGGTACACACAGCTCTGAAGTGTCGGTGTTTTGTTACAGGTAGACATGAGGTGGCAGAAGGGAACTCCACAGACCCTCTCAGCGTCATATCGTGCATCTACCTCTAAGGAAACATCCATCACGCACCTGCACAAGGCTGGTTTAGGCAACAGTGAATAGTTCATTTACTATGAAACACACAGAGCCTGGAGGGAAGTGTGCTGGATACTGTCTGTGCGTGCCTCCAGATGCTCTGTGACCCTTCTCCACCCAGCTCTGTGGCCCCAGGAGGCTGGCCTTCAAGGACTGCATCAGGGCTTTTTGTCTTCTGTCTGTGGTTGGATTCAGCTAAAGGGAATCACCACAGGAGAAAGAGGGGAGGAGGAGAGAGGGCCAGGTCCTGATTTCCCTGCTCCCTCCCTGCCTGGCTGCTGGCTGGCAGTGGCTGTGTCCTCTATCAGAAATCATGGCTCCCTATTAGGGTTCCTTTTCTATAGTCACAGCCACAGTCACAGCCACAGCTATCTATCGCTACAGCCGTCTCTCTAATCATCCACACCCCTTGCCCCTGGTGGTGCCCCTAGAGCAGTGGTCGCCAATTTTTCGGACCTCACGGACCACCAGTTGGTGACCGCTGCCCTAGAGGGCAAAGCTCCATGCTGGTGCCCACCATTCCCAGGTATGTAGTCTTCTCACTGCCCTCTCTCACCTGCCCCATTCTAAAAGGCACAGGCTGCAAAGCCAGCACCACCCTCTAATCAGAGACTCGGAGCTTCATTTTTCAGCTCCAAGGACTTAGGGGGTTTTGGAGGGCTGGTGAACATCCTTTAAATGGTGTTTCCTTGCAGAACCAGCGGTGACTCACCTCCAAAAAGAACAAAACTCAGGGTGGTAACTAGAGTGACACCAACCCTCTGTGCAGAGAAGAAAAGCCTCTGAATGGCCATGGCTTACCTTTCTGTGTTCAGTGGAAGGATGTGAGCCGATGAGCTGGAATCCTAACAGCAGCAGGTAACCCAGGACTCTGAGAAGGAAAAACAGCAACAGGCAGGACGGTGAGCATGTTCCAGGCAGCAACACCAGCAGAAGGAGCATTTCCGTCTCATCACTGGAAGGGAGACACCAGTCCAACCCGGGGTCTGGGATGTGACCCAGTGAAGAGGCAAAGGGCAGCCCCCGGGAGGGGAGGCAGCGGACTGTGGGCAGGGCTGTGGCACCGGACAGATCTGGGATCAAACCCAGCAATACCACTTACCAGCAGGGTTTCTAGGTCAGAACAGTTAACCTCTTTGAGCCCCGTCCTCTTCCTGGTAAGGTGGGGATAACACAGAAGCTGGGCCCAAGGGTTAGGGAGGACTGAATGCAACAATGTGCCATGTCTGACACAGTGAGTGCTAGTGCACGCTGAGTGCTCCCGGAGCCGGTTAGGTCTGGGCTCTGGAGCCGGGCCAGGGGAGTTCCTCTCCCACACACAGGCCGTCCTCAGAGCCTTTTCCTTGCCAGTCCTTGGTCCTTGGTGTCACATATGTTCCCCCGGGGCGGGATTAGCTGTGTTAAGCCCCACTGTCACCAGCCCTGATTAGGGCTTGTCATCAAATAAAGGGAAGGTACGGAAATAGGAGCCAGCTGGCCCTGAGACAGCGAGTGTGCTGGGAGAGCGTGAGCTTTGGATTCAAACACATGGAGGCTAGAATCCCAACTCCACCCTTCCCATCGGGGTGATGCTGGATCAGCTGAGTCTGCGCCTCCTTGTGCTCATCTTCTGTGAGGATCACTGACGCCTACAGAGGTGAAAACTCCCGCACAGACAGGCAGGCAGGCAGAGGAGACAAGTATTGTCAAGTAATTAAATGCCCAAAGCCCCCTGATTTCAAACCAATGGCATTGTTTTAAGCATCCCTACAAAAGGCCTTGGGCCCTACTGAGCTGTCTTGAATCCTTTCTAGAGGTTAACCCTGAGGACAGAAGGTAAGCAACCCAGTGGTCCTCAACCTGACTGAGACCTCCAACAGAACTGAGAGATAAAAAACACTGCCTTGTCCAAGAAAATACCCTCTGTGGAGGTGGAGATGAAGAAGGAAGCCTGTCTGAATCTGGGCTGAAGGCTTGCGGCATTAGAAGAGGCTCCTACCGTCTCTAAGAATCCTAAATTCCACCCAAACCCCCATTTTGGATGTGAATGAGCCCAGCCCTACCAGACCATACAGCACGGATATGACAAACTGGTTAGAGACTGCGCTGGGGCAGGAAGCAGGGTGAAGGGACATGCAGCCAGGTGTTAAATGCATCCTTCCTGCTGAGGCCCCAGCACAAGAACCAAGCGTATTCCATGTGCACACATTCCAAAGGGAAGGGCTGAACGCCTCTGAGGACTGAAAAAGGATGTGCACCTCCCCAAGATATCTTCCAGCAAAGGGGCAGGGGTGTCTAAAGCAGTGGGCGTGCACATGGAGGTAGAAAAAACACAGCTTTTTTCTAATGGTATCCTTACTGGATCCAATTTGTGCTCTAAACCAAGAAACATGTGCATCATGACTCAGGAGTCTATGTGCTTTGGTTACATGACCTTGGGCAAATCACCTCTGTGCCTCAGTTTCCTCATCTATAAAATGGAAATAATATTGCCTGCCCTGCTGACCTCAAATGAGTGAATGTGCGAGAAAGCACATTATGAACCATGCCTACAAATCTGAATGATTTGTAACACATCCTGGCACTGTTACTCATTTAAGAAAACAACAACATAGCTTGGTGTGGTTTTGTTAAAAAAAAAAAAAAAAAAAAACAAGCAGCAGCTCTATAAATGTGTTACACCCCAGGCCCTCAAAGTTCTTGGCAGGCACCTAAGCCACACATCTATAATGTAATCAGAAGCAATTCTGCATAACTGCTCATCCCAGGTTGCACTTCCAAAACTTCAGGGCACTTGGGGCAGGAAAGGGCGAGAAAGACTGGAGGAGGGAAGAGTCTAAATTTGTCCCTGTCTCAGAGGAACTGCTCTCCAGGTCGCCTGGTCAGCTGTACTCCCAGATATTCCTGAGCTTGTTCCCTCACCTCCATGTGTCTTATGGAGAAAAGGCCCCCTGGCCCTGAAGAAAACAGCACTTCTCCCCCAGGCCGGACAATATTTGTCTCCAGCACTTACTATCTCACAGACGATGACTTTATTCATTTAAAGTACACCTCTGCCCACTGGAGTATAAGCTCCAGGAGATTTGAGAATTGTTTCATCTCTACTTTATCCCAGCAACTAGCAGTGTCTGCTATATAGTTAGAGCTCAATTCATTGAATTAATGAATGATGTCACATCATCTTGAAATGTCAAGATAAGTGGAAATAGTGTGAATTACCATATTAAAAATGTCCAAGGTAATCTGGGAAATTTTGAAAAGTTCTGTCATGAAAAACTTATAAAAATCAGTTACATTTTTTAATTTCTATGCGATGCCCCAAAATCCATTCTCATAGGATTGACACAAGGTATGGCAGCAAAACGTTTGCTAGTGCCGCCTGTTACAAAAATTCAACACTAGTAGTACTTAGATGTTCAAATGCTTCTTTTCTTCATTGAGCTGGGCCCCAGTGAGGCTAAAATGCATAGGGGACCCAATACAGTTCATCCTGAAATAAAATCTTAGTTACTCAATGGGCTCTGGTCTGAATGGACTAGAATAAATCCCCCCAACGGGGACATTATTCTGTGGCTGCAATAGCAGCAGCGCTAGCAATATACAGCCCCGGGGCCAGAGGAAACCCCACCAAGGGCGGTAAGTTTCCCACCCCTGCTCACAGACTCTGCCTTGGGATACCCCGCCCTGCTCACACATACCTATCCAATTGGTAGTCTGTAGCTGTGCCCACACCTTTTCAACACGCCAACAATCTAGCCCAAATCCTTGTTCCTCCTGACCCAATTCGAAATTAATGTTCAGGGAATGCGAGAGCATGTGTGTGTCTGTGTGTGTGCAGCTCCAGCTCGTGTGTTATTTCACTTCGATAGTTTGCTTTGGCAAACTGCTCCCAGCTTGCAACATTTTGACAGACTGAAGGCTACCAGGGCCTTTGGCAAACAAATCACAGTTCCCTCCGAGCAGTGGGGGAGCCACATTCCTACCAAGGCTACCTGATTCACCTTGTAGGCGAATTTCACACCAATCAGAAAAAGAAAAAGATATGCCATCTCCCCGGTGTTGTCCTAGAGTTTAAACACACCATCATTCCGTTTTCTCATGTAGAAAATAATTCGCATTGAAATTTGGTACAAGATCTGCATCATGGAACTGGGGCTCTGGACTTCTGTGTTTGCCTTGCCCCCCCACCCTCATACCCACCCACGATCCTCAACTCCAGTGAGGGTGGGTCATGTCACAGCCACTGTGTTCCTCAATTAACTCAACACCACTTGAGCATATCAAGTAACAAAACAAGGAACACAGAAAAAAATCTTAACTTCTTTTCTTCTTTAGTTAATACAACCCAAGAGATATTTGGGGAGCAACCTGATCACTAATAAAATTATATTGACCTTAACAAAAGAGAGCCAAAATCTTAGCATTGAAGTGAAATCTGTACCTACTGCACTCTGGAGATCAAAAAAGTTTGCTAAGCATGCATTTTACATCTTCGCTCAATCTTCTGCCTTCCTCAGACAGCAGTTAAGAGTAAAAAAAGCAATGATCTTGGTTAGCGATACTTGATGGTTACCACCAATATCAATTCTTACAAATATTATTGCATTTAATCCACAACCATCCCATCAGATACTTTTATTATACCCATTTTGTAGGTGAGGAAATTGAGGCACAGAGAGGCGAAGGCATCTACTGAAGGGGAAAAGCCTAATTCCCATGCCAGCAGTCAGACCCTTGGCCTGGACCCTTAACCACTGTGCTCTGGGGCCTCACTGGAAATAACACACCTTTAAACCAAGCATTCACATTTGATCACATCAATTTCCTTCCCCAGTCTTATGAGGCTGTGGCTTCACACATCTTGTTTTACTTTCTGTCACTGCTTGCAAAAATAACCAGAAAATGAGTGAATGCAATACAATCTCGTTTATCCAGCCTCACCAGAGAACATTAGAAGTTTTAAAACAATTGAAACTAACCATTTAAACTTCAACCTTGAAAGAAAAATCATTCTATTTATTCCCTCTGCTTTCTCATAAAACATATGTTGAGCTTAAGTAACCTTTCTTAGGTGGGTCACCAGTGTGCATATCTACCAATCTGCGCAGCAGTAGGTGGTGGCCTTGGAGCAGAGAGGTTGAGAGCCCAGTGCCTGGGGCTCTCTGAATCCCACTGGCCTTTTGCTGTCACCTCCCCGCTGTCAGGCATTGCCTCCTGGACTGTGGATGAGCCTGTGTACTCCTAATCGGCTCCCTTCGGGGCGGCCTTGACCTTGGAACCCTTTTGACAGCCAAGCTGCAGCCAAACCAAGACCATACAGACTCTGGAGAAAGACCTGTCTGGCTTTTGTGGGGCAAATATTTCCATTTTAAAGCATCGACTTTGGGACACCTATTCTAGCTGCATATTGGTTTTTATTGCTTATTTCCAGCTTATCCACTCTTGCAGCCAGTTCTGGTTTCTAGACCAGGGCCTCTGGAAAAGTGAGGTGTTCTGTCACTGCATAGCTTTTCTGGGCACAACATCCTTTGGTAAATGTCCCTGCTCTCCAGAAAACAGTTCTGATACATCTTTGCAGCTAGCAGAACACTCAGCAGAGTCCACACTCAGGGATAGTAAATAGGAAGTGAATCAAAGAATGGCATGATGGAAAGAAGAAGGGAGAAAGAGGGAGGAAGTATCAGCCACAAAAAAAATGAAAGTGCTGCTGTGACAGACACTTTTCATCAACAAAGTGTTTTCTAAGTGCGTCCAGAATTCTGTCATAAAAATAGAAGAACTGGGAAAAGGAACACAATCGTGAAAGGAGGATTTCTATAAGTTGGAGTCATTGGTTCTGATCCCAGAAGGTCGGTGTTAACTGAGGTCTATAAATCTACTTGGATACGTAAG